ATGAAGAAATCTTGAAGAACAAGAGAATTTCCAGTTCTACTCAAATGGATCTCTAATAGACTATAGAAAAGAAACAGCCAAAATGAAAATAGCATGAATTTAAACAAAGGGTAAAGGTCAAGGGAGTAGTTTCCAAGCAGGTGTACAAAATTGGCCATTGTCTACAAGAGCAGAGCTAGTAGCAATAGTTACAATCCTATTGATAATACCAGTAGAAAGCTCAATTGAAATCTATACAGATAGTCAAACATGTATATCTAAATAGTACAAGTTGAAAAAAAAAGATCTGAAAATGACTTATAGAAGATGGCTAAAAGAAAAAGGCTGGTCTTTTTGGGCAAGAATGCTAAATATTGTCAAAACAAAAAATATAAAGTTAAAGTTGATTTAAGTTAAGGCACATACCAATATTAAGGAAAATGACTTAGCAGACAAGTTAACTAAAGAAGTATTAGACCTCCCAACAATTCAATGAAAGGATCTTAAATCTGATAAGATCATTACAGAAGTGAAATAGCAGGATATAACATTGGATAGTTCCATAAGACAATTCATAAAAAGAATAAATAATAAAATAACAACATATTGCTGGTCACAACAAAACTGAACTAGGGACAAATGGAATCTTCAAATAGAATATCAGCAGAACTACTCATGGAACATGGTATAAAAAAGGCTAAAAAAGAACACACATGGAACACCTCCTTTAAAAGCTCACAGTGGAAAAGTTTTCTGGTAAAATTAATCAACAATGAACTACTGACAATGGCCAAACTAGTGATCAAAAAAACAGATCTATATCACAAAATGACTGTTTAGCAAGTGATGAAAAGAAGGAAACAATAGAACATTTTTTGGAATGCTTAAGATATAAAAACACAATGAAGGAAGCCTGGACAAAAGGAATAAAAATAATATATCAAGAATTTAAGAAAGAGATGCAGAAGCAAAAAGATCAAGCTCAAAAAGAACATAGTAATATCCTAATAGTAGATAGAAAAGAAATGAGAGAAATAGAAGCATGGACAATAAAGCTTATCGGAAGAGTATCCATAAATAGTCAAGACTCAGTCAGTTTCCTTTTAGGGTTGATTAAGAGAGAACTATTAAGAGAAGTAAGAAAACTCGAATATGAAAAAAAAAAGATAGAAATAGTCACTAGAAAATAGATACTCTGTTGTTAAAAGAAAATCTTGAATTACTTTAGAAAAGAAGTGTGAAACAAATGTTGTGAACTAGTAATAGAATGGGAAAAAGCTCAAGGAATTTTTTGAAAAGATAAAATAAGATGGTCTATGAAATCTTATTTAACAAGAAAGACAAAAAAGTCAAGAGAAGAAAGAAAGAAAATAGAAGAAGAATGTTCAAGAAAAGGTTTAATAAGAATAATAATAATGGGAGTTAAAAGTGGAATAAAATGGTTAGGTTTTAGGCTCAGTTAGAACTTTGATCAGTGATCTGCAGTAGTGACTGTAGGCAATGATGTTCATAATAGAAAGGTATTCACTCAAACTATAAATAGAGTGACAAATTATTTCCAAAGTTGCACTTAAAGTTTCACAATAAATTAAGATAAGTGAGTTAGTTAGTGTTTTAGCTTTAACAACACTGTAAATAGTATAGTCTACATTATGTTTAATAAAGTACATATAACTAACCTGACAGTAAGTTATAATAAAAAAAAAAGATAACCTATTATGAGATAACTCTTTCCACTAATCCTCTGATCATACATAAAAAGGATCTTCGCAAGAAGTTTTATACTTTTTTGCTAATAAAGTCTTTACACTTTTATTAAAACAACTTGAAGCTTGCCTTCATATATCTTTCCTACCTTTCTTTACTTGTTTATAAACTCCTTTAAATAAAAACTTGAACCTCTAGTGACCTGAAAAGACTTAAGTATATACTTTCTTTACTAAGAGCAAGAAGGTTCTAAGAAGTAAAAGAATTGACAAGTGGAGTGTTACCTTACAGAGCTAGAAGTGACAAACAATAGAGGTTCTATTGGCAAGGTAAGGCTTATTATCCATCTTCACACATACTATCTTATACTCTTTTAAAGTGTCTACTATTTTTCATGATTTTTTGGGGGAATTTTGCCTACTTTAGTTTGATCCTGAATTTTTAATAGCACAATATCACCTGGTATCTGATTGGTTGACATGAAACACATTAGTAACAAAATATAAACAAGCTCCTATTGATCACCTCATGTGTTCTGATAATGTTATAGGTAATAGAAAGAGTTGATTGATATCTCATGTCTATCCAACTCTTTCAATTGGGTTAACCTACAGATCAAATACCATGAGGCCAATAAGATACGAGTAACAAGTCCCCAGATGATAAAAAAGTTGCTATTTGTTCAAGCTGAGGTCTTTCTCTCCTATTATTTCAGTCAAGTAAAGTTCAAGATCAAGGTTTTCTTCTTATCCCAGTTAGGCAATAAGATCAAACAATTTCTAGTTTATGCTAAGCTCCAACTCTTTGGTTACAGTTGAGAATGTATTTTCCAGAAGTTGTTGAAGGATATCATAATCGATGAAGATTCCTATCTATTGTTAACCTCCCACCATTACAAAGCAAAAGGATTATTGGGGAATCTAATCTTTTGAGTAATAGAAAATATATATCAGTAAGATTCCTTTAATTAGACATGACTGCTAGAAGGTATTATACTGAAATAACATGATCTAGTCCTTACTAGGTCACATAAGAACCTGAGGTTCATTATAAGTCATTTGTCTACCATAGATAAATAAAAATCACTGTCCAAAGAATGTTGAAACTAAGTGTGTCCTGGAAGTAAAGGTTTCTACTAGGTGATAAGTTTCCTTAGATGATACATAAAAAGAAAATCAAGATCAAGAATAGATAAGTTTCTTAGATGGTTAGGAAAAGAAAGGATATTCTAATCAGGCATTTCTTATTGAGAAGAGGTCTTAAGAAGCAAATCTTTGGAGAAAGCTAAAAATATTTTTTTCAATTTTTACTTTTTTCTTTTTTTTGTCGTCTATTTAAACATTTTTAGATATTTCCCCTTATCTTTTGTTCACCTCATCCTTTTGTAGTTTCTTATATTCCAGCAGCTTGATTAGATATATAGCAGTGACAACCTGTTGGCAATAATGCAGTGCACTAGAAGGGTTTTCACCCAAAGACACTGTGGAGCGAAATATTATTCCCAAGACTAAATTTAGAGGCTTTTAATGCTTAAGATGAGTTAGTTAGATTAGAATAATAGTTTAGCTATAGTATGTATCATGCTGCTTGAATGAAAATGTACTTGTGTTTTCAATTGATTAATAAACTGATAATCTAATTTGACTACAGGTACTCAAAAAAAAAAAATTAATAATAACCTATTATAATTTATTTTAAATAGACCTACTATCATTCTGTGAGTAAAACAAATTCAGCTAGGGATCAGATGGTTAAATACATAATCATCAATAGTAAAACAGGCTAATTTAGTATTGAGCTTTATAAATTTTTGTATTATATTCACTAAACTAGTCTATATAGTATGTATCTGATAGGATTTATAAATTTCTATTATAGATTACAAATAAAAACAAATAATTTAATAAAATAAATTTTTTATTAATTATAAATTAAATCAAATAATTGATTATTTTTAAAATTTGATATAAATATCATGATAAAATCAAAATTTTTAAAATTAATTTTATATAATAAAAAAAATAAAATTTTCCTTGATTTTATAATTAATTTTTTATTATAGTAAAAATTATAATTTTTTACTATTTTTTATATATAAATTTTATATATAAAATTATCACTAAAATAATATTTATTTATTTTTTACTTCAAATTAATATTTTATAATAAAATATTAATTAATAATTAAAAAACTTTAATATGCTCGCGATAATTAAAGTTTTATTTAAATTCAATAAATTATAATAGAAGATATTATTTCAAAAGACTTTGATACCAAACTCATAGTATTAATTAATTTTATCTATATGTTTGTTAGAAATAAACTTTATTAAGGTTTTTATTTTAATTTTTGTTTCGATTTATCTTCAGTAATTACCTGAACTGGCTTTATTATAGTAAATAAGTTTTATCAATGCGGTACCCGTGTACCATATTCGATTTCAATTATTTTACAAATTGGTACGTACAAGTTTTCTCATTAATACATAAATACCGATTTATTTATAAAATAAGAATTTATTTATTGGTTGATAAGTAATAAGCTTATGTTAGACATAGAAAAGGTTGTTCGTAAACTATTGTATACAGGAAACGAGTATGAAAATTTTAATAACCAAAATATATTTACAAATAGGTAATAAAATAAGGGATAGTGAGAGTGTATACATGACGAATCTCTATCAATAAGAAAAGGTTCAGACATAATTATTACGAGAAAGAAAATTTATTATACTGAATAAATATGAACATATTTTACAGTTTCGATTGTTCTAGATACAAATGCATCAGAAAAATACATAAAATCAGTAATAAAATTGTCTCGTAAAGTATAATAAACTCGACATAAAGTCAGTTTATTGAAATTTAAATCACAAACTCTTTGCCAAAATATCAACCCATACCTAATATATATCCATTATCCATTCAAGTAAAAAGAGAAAGAAAAACGAAAGTGATAATAGAACATCATCCTGATTATTTGCCTTATTGGATTCAAGTATCTCCCAACACACTCCGTATAAACATTAAAGTCAGTAGTAACAATGGACCAATGAGATAATGGATCAATCATTCTTCCATGCGAGCATTTCCGGTATTGCTATTAGAATTCGGATTTGGATTCGGGTTCGGAATCGGATTTGGGTTTAAATTCGAATTCGAATCTTCTGTTGGCGATGACGTTCCGGGTTCTGGATTGGATAGTGTTGGCGAATTCAATGCAAAATTATCCGGAGTCATTGATTTATTCTCCGATAATGAAGACGACGATGACGCGTGGTCATGACCTGAACCAACTTCACACGGATGGTTCTCAAAGAATTTGGCAGAGAGAGTATGTGAATATCTTCCTCTACGGGGCCGTATTGCTCTGTTGTACTTTTCGCGATATATTTCTATCGCTTTTTGAAGAAGTGTCCTTTTCCCATCAAGTTTTGGACGATTGTGGAATGCCTTACGGATAATTAAACACATTGGTCGGTTAAGGTGCTCTTCATCACGAAGAAATAATTGAATTAAAGATTCTTACCAACTTCCAACCTAATTCGTTACTACTCGATTCTAATTCCCAATTAGATCCCTGGTAGTTAGCTTTCTCAACTACAGCTTTCGGATGTATGCAGTTATTCTTTTTATATTCATCAGGTATTTCTGAAACATTAACACATTCTATGTCGGCTCGTATACGAATTTTAATGACTTCACCTTTTACTGTTGATTCTATTGTTAGTTGTCTACCCGCACCCCTTGGTCGCTTGGCTGAGCTCTCAGCTGAGCCATCATCAGCGTCCCTCGTAACTCGCTTGCGCAGCGTTCCATTTTGAATCTTCTCGTTTCGGGCAACCCTCCGGGAACGCAATGAAGGATCACGATTTCGGTAACTGTCGACTGCTCGCTGTAGCAGTCCCCGTCTACCTCCGATCTCTTCTCTATTAAGCCATGCTAACTTCCACCCCAATTCATTACATTCTTTTTCATAAGACCACCGATTGCCCTTATATTTATCTTCGGTGCAATTTGCTCTCGGATAAAGACAGTTATCACGTCTAAATTTTTCATCGATAGTGTCAAGATTAATTTTATCAATGTCAATGCGTATGCGATATTCTTTGTTATTTCCTTTCACGGAGTATGTGAAAACGACCCATTGAACGCCCTCGTGAACAACAATGACCGGATCTGTGGCTGGAAGCGCATGATTAGGTGCGGGATTGTTAATATCATTGGCGGATTGACGAGAGATGGTTTCCTGTGATGACTCCAGTGGTTCTGACACTGTACTTATTTGAATTTGTTTGTTTTGTTGTGGTTGAATTAACTGATGTTGTTGTTGTTGTACTGGTGGTGGTTGATATTGGGAGTATTCGAGTTTAGCCTGTTGATAATGTTGATCTAGATGTTGATCTTGTGACTGAGTTCTGACGTTAGCATTCGGTGAAGTGACAAAGGATGAGATAGTGTTACCAAGACTAACAGGTAACGGTGGAGAGTTTGAAATTAAAATTGGAGTTTTTGATGCATTTGATTTAGGGGTGTCAAGTAAATCGGAATTATTTAAATCGGCATTGAGATCATTAGCGTTACTGTTACCGTTTATGCTGAGCCTTTTGGACTCCTTATTCTTTTTTCTTTTTACACGTTGCACGGACTTTTCTATTAATGATAGTTGTTCGATGGTTAAAGTGCTCAGGAGTTCTTCGGCTCGTTCCGGAGTCAGAAGAGCTGAAATAAGTGCTGAAGTTGGTTGAGCAGGATGAAAGTATTTTGAGGTCGAATGTTGAATGGGAAGCGTAACTTGCGTTAAAGTGTCTTGATTTTCGGAAGGTGGTGCCTTCATATTAAACCTTAACGGCGTTGCAACAGTTTCTGATGCAGCGGTTGCAGCTCCAGCGGGTGATGCCATAACGAATGGAGACCGTTGAGCAGTTAGCTGAGGAGACGTAGTAATTGCATGAGAATTCGGATCGCGTGTCTGCGGGTGTAAAGGTGTTTGGGTATTTGAAGTGGGAGTAGCTTCCAGTGGAATCGTGTTGGTTTGAAGGTTTTCGTGCTGGAGAGGTGACTGTTGCAACATCTCTAGGATATAAAGACGAATTGTGCGAACGTAACAGGGGGTTCCTATTTTTCGAGTTTATGATACCCCTGAGAGACTATTTAACGGACATCACCTGCCCAATCAAAAACTAGCTGACCTTGTCTTGTTATCTGTGCCCCGAATTTAGATAACAAGGGTTTATCCCATATTCACACCATGCAGGTAAATTATTGATTTTTTCCCACTTTGTTCTTTCACAACATGCACGAGGTAAGCCTAAGTGCAAAATGGTCATATTAACCTCTCATCAAAGAACAATTTTTTTTACACAATCATTATCAACATTCTAATATAAGTACCTTGCATTTCATATACACATATTAAAACCTTCGAATAAAGGGCAATCAATCTATACTTTTTTATTCGGAAAGCCGTGCGCCCATGTCTCGCTAAAGAAAATTCCAGTTAACCTGTTGTATATTTCGGTCACGTGTCGAAGAAGAAAAATTTACCGGTCACCGGTCGTGGCGTATTCGGTACTGCCCAACACCCTGGAGCCTAGACCATCAATTTGTATGACGTAATTTTTTGGATGCCCTCTATAGTCTCATACATATTGTATATTACATTAGTAAACATCCATTTTAGATATACAAGTTGCATAATTACTTTGATTAAAATGTACTTTTATTTTAATGTGTAATATTATTCCCAAAATCGAACATAAGAGTATTTATGTATGAAGACGAGTTAACCATGTTGTAAAAAGTCTATAATCTTTAATTTTTTAAATAAAAGACATGTCAATATAATATACAGTAATTGCAAGTTAAGTTAATCTAATTTTTAAAATTAAAAAATAATATTTTAATTATAAAGTATTTAAAGATTTTTTTATTTTTGAAATAAGTTATTATAAAGATTTTTTATAATAAAATTATTTATTTTTTTTTTATTAATTATTTTAATTTATTTAAATCTTAATATAAATATAATTAATTAATATTTTATTTTTATTTTATTTTATAATGAGCTCATGTCTAATCTTTATTAAGTTCCAAAAATGCATTTTATACAATTGTGCAAAGCACATGTATAGGGTATATATTTGGGGTAAATAAAGAATTCGATAAGCTAAAACTACTTCAAGACTTATTGCCCTCTTTTTACAAAAAAAAAAAGCCTACATTTCATTGAGCGTGCAGGTGTTATTAATGAAAATAAAAAGAAAAAAATAAAAAGAACAGTCATGTGCTATTTTACAAAGGTAACCATATTGTTTCTTAACAAATATCCATCCTGTTTTTGAATTCCACCTTCTAATGGGAATTCAGGAAAGGCTTTTCTTGAGTCTTTTTGGAAATAAGGTAGAAATGAGAAGGAAGACTTTACAGTTTTAAGACTTGTGGGAAGGGAGTAACCAAGAAGACCCAGGTGATATATTGGTGTCTACAAGAATGACTTGAAAGTCTCCCAATATATCATTAATTAAACTCATTCCTATCTGAATATGGGTATACTTATCCATCGGTACAACGTATTTCAGATTTAATTCCTTATAGAAGGACTGCACCTAATCTTGCGATTGGCATACCTTGCTGATGGTCATTGATGTTAGTGATTATCAAGGATCTCCCAGATTATCCGACCGGCTCGCACATTACTGCTGATATTTTCAAACTTGAGTTTTCAATTGATGTAGTGATGTTAACCTTCTAGTCTTTCAGCTTGAGATTTTTTGGAGATAGGAAGAAAGCTTCCTGGTTTACTATATACACTGGCTTTATCACTGAGTGTTCCTGGTCATCTTTTTCACTTTTTCTGGTTGAACTTTTCTGAGCAGTAGAAGCAGAAACCTACTTGACATACAATTAGAAGTAGATGGTTCGGATTTATAAAAGGAAACAATCAAGCATCTTATGATCTTTGCCATGATCCGACAAACTCTTTTTTGTATCCAAAGATATGTCAGTAGCATGTCCTATATCCACCTGCATTAGCATATAACTTATGGTGAACCCCTTGTTCTTATGAAGCTGAGGAAATGTATTCAGACATGTGAGATGATCAATAGGAGCTTGTTTATCAATCTTGTCCAACATATTTCATGTCATCCAATCAGAGTCAGTGAGATTCATGCTATCCGAAATTTTAAGGTCAAGCTGGACTAGGCAAATTTCTCAAGAAGCCGTGAAAAAGGTAGCTCTAAGAGGTCACAACCCCAGTTGAAGAGTGGAAAAGTGAGTCCTTTGACTGGAATAAAATCTCTGTTATCTCCACTGTAACTGAGGGGTAACAAGTACTTCACAGTTGGTCCTTTTTTCTTTAGGAACTTTCTTATCATTGATAGTAAAGATGAGAGCTAAACTTTGCAGACCACAAGAGTTCAGTTTATTTAAAAGAGGTTGTAAACAAGAGGAAAAGGAAGTGGGGAGTTCTGAAAGAACTTTTTGAGTTGGTTTAAAGAAAGTGATAAGACTTTATTAGCAAGGAGGTATAAAAACTTCTTGCAAACATCTTTTTGTGTGTGGTCAGAGGATTAGTGAAAAGAGTAGTTTTTTTTTTTTTTAAAAAAATTAATTAATTAATATAGGATAAAATTAATTTCTAAAATATAAAAAAATATATATATATATTTTTAAGTACCTGTAGTTAGATAAAATATAAAAAAACTTTTATTACTTATATTAATATATTTAATTATATAAATTTTTAAGAAAATAATTATAATATTATAATATTAAAACTAAATAGGTTTTACATCTTAAGTAATAATACATTTATCCATAACTTATTATCTTCTTAAAATATAGTTGACATCAAAATATAGTCGAAACATATTATCAAAGTAAAGCTAACTTTACATATAATTTATAAAAAAAAAAAAAAGTCTCTATATCAAAAACCAAATTAAACATATTCTTGAAATCAAATATAAGAATCTTAGAAGTAATAAAAAATAAATACTAAATTATATTCTTAATAAAAAATAATTCAAAATAATACTTAATAGGCTCTTTGTATAAAACTATAAAGATTTAGCATATATATAGTAGTTATAAACTTATAAACTATTAATCAATAAGTCAAGACACACCATTAAAAAGCTTTTAAAAAAATCCAATTTCAAAGATTTGGATCCTGATTGAAAAGAAAAATATTAGTTCAAAGAATAAATTAAATCAAAATATTACTTTCCTTTAAAAAAAAATTTTTCAATAGAAGAACTTGATAAAATACTAAGAAGTTTTTTCAACAAAAAGGCATCTGATTTTTTATAGATTAATTATAATATACTAAAGAATTTGGGATCAAAAGATAAAGCTATATTAGTACAACTTTTTAATATGATCCTTTAAAATAGTCAAATACTTAAGAAATAGAAAAGTATCCAATATTCAAGCCTAAACCATAACACTATAAACTTGAAAATATCAGATTAATTGTTACTAAAAAAGACAAGACTTTGTTTTACCAAAATAGTAAATAGATGCTTGACATCTATCGTTGCAAAGCATGAAATCTTGTAAAGATCAAACTTGTCAACCTATAGGAAAAGAGTACTGTTAAATTTATTCAATTTCTGAACAGTATATATAAAGAGGTTAGAGAAAAAAAAAAAGAATTATAGGTTCTTTTTCAAGATATAGCTAGAACCTATAACACAATTAGTTTTGAAATATTAGAAAAAATAATGTCAAAAATTCAAATTTCACTAGTGGCAAAACAACTACTCATCAATCTTTTTTAAGAATAAATAATGTTATACTATTCTTTCTACTAAACTTTTTAATTTATTTATAGTAGATGATGATATTAATCAAGGAGAAACAATATTTCCTCTACTTTGAAAAATTTTCTGTAATCTATTGCTCTGCAAAATATAAAATAAATAGAATTATGGATATATACTTCATGGTTAGACTCTTTTCGCTGATCCTCTGCCCACACACAAAAAAGATGTTCACAAGAAATTTTTTATTTCTTTGCTAATAAAGTCTTAACACT